CAAAGTCTAGAGTTTTTCGAGTATTTGAGTGTGCTGCTTTTTCCATATTCATAAGTAACACCTAAATAAGTTAGATTCTAGTACAAATAGGTATATTTTTGTGGGTTATGCCCCTGGAAAAAAATTTGTATAGATTTTATCATCTTCTTAGTCGTAAGTACTTTATTTTAAAGATGTCACATTTCATGAAAATTTCCTACTTCACTTATCATCGATCTCAAGGGAAGAATATTAATGACTCTAATTCTAAGTTCGAGTTATTGAACTTAAGTGAAAATTCTATTTCAGGGAGGACAGATGTCGGATCAGATGTTTGGCACAACAAGATCTATTGGTTTATAACAGATTACATCATATGGGGACAGATGTCATACACGGTGTCTATGACAATATAAACCAGAAAAAAAATTAGTTTGCAAACAAGATATGACAGATTAACTATACAAGATGATGAAGCAGAAAAGTAGTAAAGAACATAAGAGATTGGTAACTCGGTCCGGTGAAACCACACCTACGTCTTGGGGGAATCTACCCAAGAAAGGAAACCCACTACTTTGAATTAGTACACTTAGTCTTACAAGAACCAACAAACCCTATGTTGTTCAAATCCTCTTCCTAATCCTAGTATCTTTCTATTTACGGTCTCTCCCGGAATATGAGAACCTACTCATTTTCTTCTCTATCACACAACTTGTGATTGGTGTTTACAAACCACTAAACAATGTTGAATATTACAACTCAACTAAGTCAAACTTTATATGCCAAGTTATTGAATCATAGAGATGTATACAAAGATTCAACCCTAATCTGGTTATGACATTAGCGTAGAATACAAAAAAAATACAACGTTCACAAGCTTATAAACTTAACATCTTGAAACAAGATTTACAACTCAATAGAAACCAAACTTCATGTCTTATAATATGAAAGGAGGCTCTAGAATGGTTCACATACAAAGGCTCAAAAGATAAACCCTAACGCTAGGTATCCTTAAAACTCGGACACCTCAAAAGTGAGGTTTGAGTATCCTTAAATAACAATGCAATTTTGGGCTTTTTTTCTTGGATTTCATATTTAATTTCGTCCATAATAATAACATAATCTTGTTGGATTTTATTTGCTCCATAAATTTGTCCAACAAAAGATATGATTTGTTATTAATTCAAATTAAAATTTAAATCTCCATGTAAATTGATTTGATCTTCAAAAGCTCTCAAACAAATCACACAAACACATTACATTAAAATAACAACAAATTTGATCGAATATAAACCAAAATTTTTCTCCAAAAACGCAAAAATATTGGTCTACTGAACCAGAGGCATATGTTGCGTTGCACATGTTAGAACATCGTGTTTCACATGTTTCAACAATACATCCAAATTAACTCTTCTCCATAACTTGTAGCTAACAACAACATCTGTCTTGTTGAGGGAGACTAGATGTTGTACCACTCATGTTGGAACATCGAGTTCCACATGTTACACCAGAACATTCAAAACGAATCTTCTTCATATAAGTCTTCTTTACAAAGTAGTTCTTAGACCAAATCTTCCTTCAAAGTACATTCAATCAAATATTTTTTTACTGAAACAAATCCAAATCATTTCTAATACATCTTTCTTGTTGATGGAGACTAGATGTTGTACCACACATATTGAAATATCGAGTTCCACATGTTACACTTGAGCATTCAAAACGACTCTTCTTCATATAAGTCTTCTTTGTAGAGTAGTTCTTGGACCAAATCTTCCTTCAAGGTACATTCAATCAAATCTTTTTTTACTGAAGCAAATCCAAATCTTTTCCAATTAATTTTGGATTATCAACTCAAACTTCTTCCCAAATGCAAAACTTTGGATCATTTGAAGAAGTCGACACATCAACACTTCTGAAGGACATCAGAACCCCAAACTTAAGCTTAATGCTTAACTAGTTCTGTCAAGCACTTTAGCCAAATAGCTCTTGCTTAACTAGTTATGCACTTGAGCCAAACAGATCTTGCTTAACTAGTTATGTCAAGCACTTCAGCTAAGAACTCTTTTTGAAAACAAACTCAGATGTTGGAACACATGCTAGAACATTTTGTTCCACATGTTTCTTAAAATACATATTGTACATATGTTGTTTTTCCTAATGCATATCCAAAAGGAACAACATTTAGTCCTAGCCTCCCTAAAATTTTGACTCTTACTTCAATGTCCGAACATGAGTTGTCGCCTATTTTAAGTCATTTTCCTGATTTAAAATTTGAATTTGGATATATTTATGTTCTAGTTCCTTAGGTGTCACCTATTTTGAATCATATTCCTAGTTCAACTTTTGAACTTAAGTCTATTTATGTCATAACTTCTGCTGTGTCATCTATTATGCATGAAGCAACACTTTCGGCACCAATTTTCTAATATAGTGAAAAAGAAAAACTAATAGGCTCCTAAAATAACTACAATTGAGTTAGAGGTAAGTACTAAAAATGATTTTGTTATTAGTGATTGACATATTTTTTATCATGATATGAATGATGTACTTATTGATATGAGAAGGGATAAAAGGCCGCATGCCACTAAATAAAAATATTCTATTTTTGAGTTTTTCTCCTATAAACATCTTTCTCCACATTATCAAAGTTTTATTAGATATGTTAACCCAATGAGAGTTCTATCATTTGTTAAGAGGGATTAAAACATGAAAATCGTGTCCAAAATATTAAGGAAGAAATGAAATCACTTAAAAAACTAGAACTTTGGATATTGTTGAAAGGTAAGAAGACAAAAAGTCATTTGGATGCAGATGGATCTATATAGCAAAATACATGTCAGATGACACCCTTATTCGTTAGAAGGCCATAATAGTGAAAAAGTGATATACTCAAACATACGACATTGATTATGATGATACATTTTCTATATGACAAATATTAGTTTTGTTCATATATTATTATCTCTTACTACTCACATTGGGTGGGAACTACAAAAGCTTGGTGTTCAAAATGCATTCTTACATGAAAACTTAGAAGAGAATGTGTATATGGATATTCCCCCATGTTATGGTCTCACATTTAACAAGGTGTCTCGATTGAGGAAAACCTTATATAGACTAAAGCAATTCCTTCAAGAATGGTTTGGAATAATCATGAAATCAATGGTGTCCTTTGATTTATAAGCAAAGTTAAGAAGACATCTCTCTCTTCTTTAAGCATTCATAAGAAGAAAAACTAATTTTACTTTTTTTGTTTATGTTGATGATAATATTATTATAGGAAATGATTTAGATGAAAGACAACTACTAAATATTTAAGTATTAGCAAATATTATGATGAATGACTTTGGCTAACTCAAGTATATATTAGAAATGGAGGTAGTCTGTTAAAAAAAGACATGTTTATCTCTCAGAAAAAACATGTACTCTTGCATGAAACAGAAAAGCTCGGATGCACACCTACATGTGTTTTTATTTCTATTGAACAAAATCACATGATGAGTTATGAAGAGAAAATATCCAAATTGACAAGGTAAAATATCATAGACTAATGTGAAAGTTGACTTATTTGACACACATTAGACTAGATTTGATCTATGTGATTAGTGTGGTAAGTCAATTCATACATAATCAAATTAAAATCATTTTTAAATTGTAGACCAAATTTTATAATATCTCAAAATCACTTGGAAAGAGACATATTGTTTAAAAGAGGTGAAAATCTAACTAGAAAAATATACACAAATGATGATTAATGAGACTATGTATGCAATCAAATATTTACTTCTGGTAATTATACTTTCTTTTGTGAATATTGTTACTTGGAAAAGTAAGCAAAATGTAGTGGCTTGATCAAGCGTTTAAGCAGAACTTAGAGTTAAAGTCTCAGGTTCAACTTTCCCTAGAATTGATCTCATTAAATTAATTGGTTGTAAGGCCAAATATTAAGATTTAAAATAAAAAGATATTTTATCAAAGAGAAGTCGAATAATAAAGTGATAACTATTTCATACATTCCTTCTATAAATAGCTGACAAATGTACTAATAAGAGTTTTACCAACTGAATAATTTAACCAAATAACATGCTAGTTTGTAATGATTAATATTTATTTATCAAATTGAAGATAAGTGTGATAAATAAGAGAATATATTAGTTTTTTATTTTATTTTAAATTTAATTAGTTTTAACTTATTGTAGAGGCTCATTAAACAAAAACATGTTAGATTTAAATTTCTTTTCCTATTTAAAGAAACTAAATATTATATTGTTACAAAACTTTGAAATATATTATAAAAATTATTAAAAAACATATTAAGTGGTGACATGCATGAAGGTATCATACAATGTCTAAAAAGTCATTAGTCCTCCCTTATATCGCATGCAACCTGTGAGGGAGAATACTCAACCTTTGGTTGGCCTAATAGTTAAAACAAAAGTAATAGCACATAATCCTTCATGGACTTTGACTTATCATGCTTTCCTTGTATATCAAAATGAAATTTCCATTTTAAAAGTTTGAGTGAAAACACTTTCCTAAGTTACAAAAGGAAGACCACTTTGGAGAACAAGACAAAAAACCATTCCAAATATTCCAATTCTTGTATATACTTTTTGAATATTTATAGTTCATACTTTCTATAAAAAAATGGCATATGATTCTAATGTTTCTTTCTCATCCAATAAAATTAAGTTTTGGAATCACTTAATTCATTTCTCACTGGACTACTCATTATCTTTTAAAGATTAGATTGTACATGGTTACATAATAATACAACTTTTAAAATTTTTTTTGGTGTAACTCAGATATTTTATGCACGCAACTGTAGAGACTAATCTCTCGAGTTGACAAAGACCACATTAGATAACAAAATTGTTTTTCAAAACTTTAAGTTTTTCAGAATAAATAACTAATAAAATCATATTCTCATACACAAATTTGAACTATATTTTTATGCTTATTAGGCTCACTATTACACAATACACTTATTATTATCAAACATAAAACACATTATGTATTCTTCACTCTTGATCTTCAATCCTAATTATGCATAAGAGTCTTTCAACAATATCCCTCATACAAGGCCTTTCAACTCTCTTCTCTTTAAGACAATCATGTGCAAGCTCCCAAAAGAGTTTGATGCTTGTAATCAATTTACCACTCAAGGGTTCCATAGATAGAACAAGCCTTTGATCAACCACTTGCATGATTTCACCATTGTTTGCATATTGACTCACATGAATTACGAGGTTAACGTCGTCTTGATCACGAGAAAAGTCTATCGCTTTCTTTGATGTCAAAAGCTCTAGCAGAACAACTCCATAGCTATAAACATCACTTTTATCTGTTAACTGGTAGTTGCGATAGTATTCAGGATCCAAGTACCCTAGTGTTCCCTGAGCACAGGTAGACACATGACTAAGTCCCGGGTTAGCCAATCTGGAGAGTCCGAAATCGGAAACTTTGGCGTCGAATTCGTCGTCTAGTAGTATATTTGTTGACTTAACATCCCTATGGTAGATAGGAGTGTGTGCAGAAGAATGCAAATAAGCCAATGCTTCAGCTGTTTGAAAAGCAATCTTCAGCCGTTTTTTCCAGTCGAGAAAACTTGGATACCTACCATGAATATGGTCGTAGAGAGTCCCGTTCGAGATATACTCATAGATCATCAATGGTTGCTCAGATTCCACACAGCAGCCTAAAAGTCTGACTAGGTTCTTGTGATTGACTTGAGAAAGAATTGAAACTTCATTAAGCACTTGTTGTGTGCTTTTAAGGTTGCCAACTCTAGCTTTCTTGACAGCCACAAGTGTTCCGTCTTGTAGTTCGCCTTTGTAAACTTCCCCGAAGCCGCCACTTCCTAAGATCCTGTCGTGCGAAAAACATTTTGTCGCTTTCTTCAACTCTTTCAGTTGAAACATTTTGTAAGGCTTCTCCACTCCAATGCTTGATTTCATAGCAGTTTCTCTTTCCTTGGCGAGCTTAGAGTGATTGAAGGACTTTGTGATTACAACAAGAACCACCGCGAATGAGAAAAAAGAAATAACCGCTATTGAGACAATCAAACTGGTTTTCCATTTGGATTTTCTCTTGTATTTTTCACATGTTGCTGCAGAAGGGTTCCAATGGAATCCTCGATTACAAAGACAGCGGAAGAGTTTGTCTCTACCAGAAGATGAACACTTAGAGTCTCTAGAACAATCGTTTTGTGTTCTGCAAACAGGTTCGGGTGGAAGAGACCATTGAATCTCTAGACCTTCCTCCCACTGACTAGGAGATTTGTCTTGGTCCAAATGAAGGATGCTTCTGAACGCTTTGCAACCGGAACTGTGAAGGCGAATCTTGTAAGCGGAAGGCATGCCACCAGCAACAAAAGTGCAACAGGGGCGAAGACCACTCGCACACTCATGCGCTCGCTTTCCATCAACATGACCCGAATTTTCCAAGTAACGATGACAGATACTAGAAGAAGTGCAGTTAAGAGGAGAAACCAAGAGGCGAGGGGAACAGTTGAAGAGGAACACGGTGTTTGACGAAGTTATGTTGAAAGGAAGCGACTGATTTAACCAAATACCATTACTTACCAGCATGTCTTGTGTGACACATGAACCAGGTAACCAAGGTGGTGCCTGCACCACCATGCGCTGGATCGAAGACATGATTCTGATTACAACATACGAACCTCCATTGAGAGTGTCAAAGTAAAGCTTTCGATTACGAGGATCACAGCGAAGCCTATAGTACGGATCGCCACAGTTCGATTCTATACTCAAAGGATACGGAACTGTCATAGAACCACAGTTTGGACAAGTCTTTTGTGAACAAGTATAACGACAGAGCAAAAGGCAAAGAAGAAAGACATAGCTAAAACAGCTCCTGTTTGATTCATCAATCATTTTGCACGGACGATTAGAAGAAGAAAACTGTTATGCATTGATATGAACGCGATCGAAGAAATAAAAAGGCTACCCGTAGCTACTGCAATGGAATAAAGTGGCTCCAAGAATCTACAGCGAGGAATATCATAAATATATAAAGATCTAAGGGACCATAAATATACTCTCTTTTATAAGGTGCAAAGAGAAAAGGCTTTGGAACTCGTTCAAGTTTGCAAAGTTTTTTTACTTTCATTTTAGTCAAGAAGCGCGAAGATATAAATATCATAGTGGAGAGAAATTAATGATTAAAATACAGAAAATGCTTGAAGGCTAAACCAGTGTAAATTCGGCACTATCAGTAACTGAAGAGCCAATCCCAATGTTCTCCTATGTAATGGAATGTAACTAACACGTGGATCATGCGAGTTAGTTACAGTTACGTATTACCGAAGAAGAATCTACTATGAAAGACAAAACAAATGAATTTGACAGAACGCTAGTTACTGACGAAGAATCTGCAAAAATGTAGAAAGAAAAAAGATGAATATACTTTGACATAAAAGAAACTTTAGAAAAAGGAAACTTGTAATCATGTGCTGATTGGAAAGTGGAAATGGCATCTGTAAATATTGTTGTTTGTTCTTGATGGAGAACAACAAAAACTTTTGCAAAAGGATCTAATCCTTTTAGATCTCATTAGATTTAAAATCTAAGAGTTGTGATGAACAAACATGCTTAAGAAAATAGTTGACATATATAAAAGTAGTATCTAAATATTCAAAACATTGTTAGTAAAGGTCTTATAATTTACATGTTTAATATTGAATGGTGTGGATTACATATTTCCTAATCAAGCATGAACATGAATATGATTCCACATGATTTAATAGTTGGGAAAAAATAAAGATTTTGAATGGCATATTTGTAACATAAAACAAGGAAAATTGGTCCCAGAATCTGTTCTTAACTCACTACAATTAATCTGTCTTTTGATGACATATGCAAAATCGTGATGTCATCATGATTTTGTTGAAGCCCAAATGTCTATTTTTCTTTTATAATAAAATTGCTTATTTTGTTGCGCTCAATTTGAATTAGTTATGTTTTTCATAATTAATTTTAATTAAAATTAAAATTTGTAACTTTTAAGTCTAAGACCATCTCCCACGGAAGTAATGTTTGGAGGATGCCGCCAGCTCAAAATGAAACTTAATGTATGGGTGTCACCATGTCATCGAACATTGCAATGTAATGCAACCGTATAATTCAATAAAAAAGTAATAAGTATTTTTATTTGGTTACAAATAGAAGCAAATGATAATCAAATTTTTTCTCATAAGTTTATTTCTTTCTCACAATTTTATCATTTTGCTCATAGTATTTTAAATTTGACTCTCACAATTTCATCTTATCACCCTTCAATGATCATATATTTTATCCAATTTTTCATCTTCTTACTTCAAATTATTATTGGCAAGGCCAAATGGACCCTAATCAATATAATTCTCAATAATTTATCAAAACTATCAAACTCTACCGTATTTTTTCCGTCATCAAACAACCCAAGTATGTATTTTAGACCACAAATAAATACTCATGGAATGAATTTTTCTCATCATGAACCCGAAACACCGTATGGGTTTATGTCCGAACGTCAAGTTCCACAATTTTCAACTCAAGTTGGTATTGAAAATATTACAATTGAAAAGGAACAAAGACGTTATGTTAAAAATTTAAAAAAAAAAACTCGAGAGGTATTCACAAGGAAAGAGGATACACTTATGCAATCATGGCTCAATGTTTCAAAGGATCCAATTGTTGGAGTTGATCAAAAAGTTGACAACTTTTGGTTAAGAATCATCGATAATTATAACCAATATCGTGGACAGTCACGAGAAAAGCTACAAGGCCAATTAAAATCTCGATGGCATCGAATAAATGGTCTTGTTCAAAAATTTGTTGGGTGTTACAAACAAGTTGTTCATGGAAAAAAGTAGGGCATCGGAGAAAGACATCTTAGTCACTGCACATGATTTTTTTGCTCAAGATGAAGGTGCACCATTCAATCTTGAGTATGCATGACGGCTTTCAAAAGATGAATCTAAATGGATGGGAGCATCCACCGAAAATTCTTCAAAGAGAATAAAGAATTATGCTAGCGGTGCATACACATCACCGCCAAACTTAAAGGCACCTTCAAGTTATGAGTTTAACTCATCATCTCCTCTGGAGCATCTAATGGGACAAAAGGCGGCAAAACGAAAAGGAAAATGCAAATGTAACTGAACCTCCTTCCAGTGTTATGCATGATAGAATGAATAAAAGAATGACAATAATGAAAAATCTAGCATGACTTAAGAAGGAAGAAAATAAATTAGTCAAGGAAAATATGGAGTTTGAAGCAATGCAATTTATCATGTCAGACACTTCTAAGATGAATGACAATCAATGTGAATTTCATGAAAAACATTGTAATAAGCTAAAAGAAAAATCTGGATGGTAATAATATGCAAAGTTCTAGTATTATCATATTTAAGTATTATGTAGTACTTGTTATGTATCAACACCTATTGTAATAAGATGCAATGCTCTACTATTCAAACTAGTCGTTATTCAAACTAGTCGTTATTCAAACTAGCCGTTATTTAAATTAGTCTTATATATACTTTCATTCTTCTCTCACTTTTCTATCATCCTTCTCCCATTCTTCTATCATTTTTCTATCATCCTTCTCTCATTCTTATCTCATTTTTCTATCACCCCTCTCTCACTTTAATGGATTCAAACAATTCAAACAATCTTAACAAACTTTTTTGGTAGGTGATTGAAGAAGAAACTATAGACAATACATATGAATAACTATTGTTGTCAATGCTCAAGAAGGAATGCAATTTGAAAGTTCATCAAGGCGAAAAAGAAGACCAGTGATAGATCGAAATCGTGAAGAAGGGCATAGGCATGTGTTTCTTCGAATTGTAGAAACCCTTAGAAATCACGACGAATATTTTCAAATTAGGGTCGATACAACTAGTAAAATGGGCCTTTCACCATTACAGAAGTTCGCTTCTGCTATTCGTATGTTGACATATGGATCTTTCGCTGACATTGTAGACGAATATGTTCGAATTGGTGAAAGCACTGCAGTTGAATGCTTAAAGAGATTCACAAGGGGTGTGAATGAGGTATTTGGGGTCGAGTAATTAAGAAGGCCTAATAATAATGATGTTGAACATCTTTTACAAATGGGGGAGTCACATGGATTTTCAGAAATGCTAGGTTTCATTGATTGTATGCATTAGGAATGAAAGAATTGTCCTGTTGCATGAAAAGGACAGTTTTTCCGAGGTGATCATGGTAAACCCACGATCATGTTTAAAGTAGTGGCATCACAAGACTTATAGGTTGGCATGTATTTTTTGGTATTGCAAGCTCAAGCAATGACATTAATGTGCTAAACCAATCCAATATGTTTAACGATATTTTGGAAGGACATGTTGCTAATGTGCAATAACAATCAATGAGACTTCATATAATATGGGGTATTATTTAGCGGATGATATATATCATGAGTGGGCTACATTTGTTAAGATTATCTCAATGCCGCAAGGAGAAAAGAGAAAACTATTTGCATAATATCAAGAATCAACTATAAAGGATGTCGAACGGCCATTTGGAGTGCTCAAATCTCGATTTGCAACTATATGTGGCCCAGCGCGTGCTTGGCACATGGAAACCCTCAAGCATACCATATATGTTTGCATAATATTGCACAACATGATTGTTGAAGACAAACGACACACATACGGATGTGATTTTGTTACTCTTATGATAATGTAGATGACAACAACTCAACGACTGAAATATTTAACGGTCCTCGTTCGAATCTTGCAACAAGACTATAAAGAAGAGTAAGTCTTCGTGAAAAACAAGTTCATCGCCAACTTCAAGGAGATTTAGTCGAGCATATTTGGTAACGTTTTCGACATGAGAATGATGAAATTTAAATGACGAATGTGATGTTATTTATTTTATTATTTTTAATTGTATGTCATATATATGAGATTAATTTTAATTATTATTTTAAAATTTATGTTTAATTTTAATTTTATTTATTTATATTAATTATAATTTAAATTATTATTTTAAATAAAATAAAATTTAATATGAATAATATATTAATATATTAAGTAAAGTGGGATATGGGTTCTTTAGAGTGAAAATTAGATGAATTGTCTGAAGATGATGTGTCTTGATGAGTCCCATAAAGAACTCAAAAATGAGTTGTATCATTGGAGATGTCTATTCATGCGTTACAATGCTATACTACCGTAAAAATTGAGAAGCTACAAGACTAAACTTCTGTATCACTGTAAAAAAAATGTGCTTTTGTCAATCCCAACGCGTATCCAAACACACTCTAAACTGATTTTTTCGCTAAATTTTAGTTATCAAATCACTTTTGATTAAAATAAAGAAAATAAACATATTATATATAAATTATAAAATATAATATAAGAGAAAATGAGTGGTAATATAAATTATTTTTACACTGTAAATTAATGGCAATCATGAATTCCGCCACATATTTAAAAAAAATTAATGATATGACATTGTTAGTTTTTATTAGATAATTATATAAATTATTTTTACACTATTAATAAACTGTTAATTTTTTATTAGATGACAATATAAAACTATTTTAAATATATAATTAAATTCATAATATAAAGATGAAATAAATAAGCAAAACAATGTGACATAACATGCTTAATTAAATAATCAGAGAAAGAAGAAGAAAATAAACTTTTCTCTCTCTTCATATAAGCGAAAACAAAAACTTGAGCAGCTCCTCCCTCTTGCGGCGGCGCGTTGTCTTCACATTCCGTCGTCGTCGACGTATCTCCTCCTCTTCTTCATCTATTTTTCCGGCGCTTCCAAACCCGTAGGTACTCTCTATTTTCTTCGCTATGTAGCTCCCAATTTCATAAATCTCGTTTTTAGGTCTTTCCAAGTTTCGATTTCAATTTCAACCTTAAGAGTGCCAAATCGCTGATGGTTTTTGAGATTGAGATTTCAGATGAGTGTTTATTATCGATAAAGTAAAACTCTCATCTATGCAATGTTGATGATTTGTATTTGAATGATGATTGTTAGTTACAAATATTTATTTAAATTTGTTGATTAATTTATAGGTAGGGTGAAGAAGCCAAAAAAATGCCTCCTTATGATTGCATGCTTCTATTCAAGCCACATGTGAAAAAAGAAGCCCTAATTGGTTTAGTTGCAAGGATTGGAAAACACATATCTAGAAGAAATGGGGTTGTCACTGAGGTTAAGAGTTTTGGAACAATTCAGTTGGGCTATGGTGTCAAAAAGCTTGATGGCAGGTTTTTTCAGGTTCCTCATGCTGCAATTCACAGTTTATTTATTTTTCTTCTCTTTTCGTTTTAGTTTATTTATATTCTAGGTGAATTTCTTTTCCTCATTTTTCTGCTCTAATGAAACAATAGTGCTTTACTGTGTGTTTTTTATTTATTTGGGTTGTATTGGTAAGAGACAAAGTTATGCTGCAAAAAATAAACAAATTAGATGTGGAAAAAAAAGGCTTTGGTAGTATGTTTAAGAATTTGGAAAGATGTTTCATATAGCTCTATGTTGTCAATAGCATGCTATAGCACCGCTATAGCGGAATAGCGCAGTGGTGGTAGGTTTGAGGCGGACGCTTTTAATTTGCGAGCCGCTGTGAATAGTAGCGATTGTAGCAGCCACTAATTGCGGCTCCAAACCGTTATAGCGATTGCTGCTATTAGAATTTTAGGGATAAATTCCTCATTTTCTTTGTTTAAACTGTTGTCTTGATCAAATTTTAATAACTATTAAGTATGATGATCTCTTTAGTTTTGTGTGTTAGTCTATTTCTGAGTGTTTATGTTTACTTTGTACACTAGTTTTTAGTCTTTGCAATAGCAGTTTTCCAATTATCCCGCTATCTGCTATAGACATTTTAGAGGGTCAGCACTACGCAACGCTATCCGAGATTAACAACACAGGGTTTGAGGTAGAAGTTTTTACTGGATGTCAAAATTGTAGATTATGGGGGTGTTTGAGAAACAACTTAGTTAAATTGAAACTGTTAATTCAACTGAATATTGGCATTTGGATATATTTGTTGAATGTGCTGAAGAACCATGTGTTTTCAATATGTTTCTTTTTGCAAGAATTTACTTTAGGTTAGATAGAATTAAAATGAGTACAAGAAATAAACTTTGCATAAGCTTTACCTAAAATGTTTTTATAAACTATCTTAAGGATGAAATCAATTTAAGGGTATGTACTATGAAACTCTCTTCCACTGTAACAAGTACTTCTGCATGTTATAATAAAGTTTTAAACAAGCTCTATGGAATTTGCATTTCTAGGCAACGTTTCTCAATCACCTCACATCCCATTACTTCTTTCACCGGGTCTATCTGCATAACCTTCTCTTTTTCTTCGAGATTTTCCTTCACCGTGTCCGTTCCTTTGCTATACTTAAATTGGTCTTCGCCCACTGCATCCTGTAGTCTCCTTCCCTCATTCATCATTTACTAAATAACTGCCGCCCAGGCCTAATACTAACACAAACTTGCAAATCTTTTTAGTTTGAAAGTCTGTCTTTGGTGAAACAGGAGTGGCATGTTCTTCTCAATGTTCGAATAGCAATTATGCAATTGTTAATTAACTTGTTGCATTTTCTATTTTTAATGAATGCAGGGCCAACTGATGCAAGTGAGCATGATGGCTACACCGGAAATCAACAAAGAGCTGCATTACCTAAACAAGGAAGACAAACTACTACGTTGGCTTCTGGTTAAGCAGCGTGACACAAAGATTGGGCTTGAGTTCATGGGAGATGAAGGTAGATTAGAGCCAAGCAGATTCTCTCAAATAAATAAACCTGATGACGACGATGATGAGGATGAAGACGATGAAGAATATGAAGTGAACGAAGACGAAAACAGTATGAACTAAAAGATGGTTGTATTTTGTTTGTTTCCCTTAGGAGAAAGATAAAACCGTAGTGCATCATAGGTGCCACATATTGAAGATTATGATTAGTAAACAGCATGTTGTCACTTTGATTTTAGACAATTAATTTTTTGTAACTTGGTGAAATAATTTATTTACAAACGTGTTGAACACTTGTGCTGGGTGAATGTCGAAAATTCCGAGATTTTAAATTTCATTTTTGCCGATAAATGGTTATCAATCTACTTTGGCTCATAAAATCCAACACATTTAGTTTTTTTGGATTTTTGGTCTAGAACGCTGCTTAGGTAATGCAGCTCTTTGTTGATTTTTCTATTTGATGTCGTAAGTCATTTTTCAAGTAGAAACCTTCCCACTAATGACTAAGTTATTTTTCGTTGTTGACCAAGTCGACTAAGTCGTTTATCGTTGATGACCATTTATTGTTGATGACCAAGTAGAAACCTTCCCACTAATGACTTAGTCGACATCAAGTAGAAACCTTCCCACTAATGACGGGGTTGTGTTTGGTCATATTTGTTTGCAGAAGCTTCCAATGGATTGTGAAGCTCTCAAAAGTCACAATATACTCTCTTTCGCCCCAGGATCGATGTGACAATCAACCATTTCTCACATTTCTCATGTGCTTGTTTTTTCATTTGGTCTAACCGAATCATCACCCTCTTAGATTTGTATTTTACCATTTTAACATCATATTGATTTATACTTTGTTTCTATTAACTTTCTTATTTTAACATTCGATTTGTTGGCCTTTTGCTTCCATTTATGTACATTAGAAAACAGTTGTGAGAGAAAAGCAGAATACAAAGAGAGTGGTGACGAGACAAAGGAGAGTCCATAATAAAATGCAAATGGAGCAGTACATGCTTATCCAAAAAATTTATTTAATTTAACAAAGTATAATTATATATTGTTTTTTACAATGTGAAATACATAATAAAAATTAAACCTACTCGTGATATATTCGTGAGCTCATGCTTCGTGACATATAGCACTGCTGTCTTTACAGTCTGTCTATGCACATCTCAGACTTCTAATATTGTCCAAACATTGCATGAGCTAAAATCACTAGGACCAATGTTACAGTAATTAAAATCAGAACAATGAAGATGATAAAATATTCTCTCCAAAATGAATGTAATCAAAAATTTAGATTATAATACATCAACTTTTCAATTATCCTTTTTCTTATATTTCATTTCAAAGAAAATTAAAAATAATTTTAAAAAACTATATTTGTGTCACAGAAAAAATTAGTGTATATATACACGCTCAGCTGAGCCCGACTTACATATGCCATTGCGATTCTAGTTTTGAAAACAAACAAACCATATATTTTAATGGCACAATGATCATTATTTGCATTTACACACAAACTTAAAATAAATAGTTTCCAAAATTAACAAATACAACAGAATCTCCATGCACTGGGATAATGGAGTAACCATTGCATTAACCAATATCTTCCTAAACTAAACCAGAGTGCTATTTTCTTCAATGAAAACTTAGATAGCATCTGAGAGCTTGCAACAGCGTGGTCTAACCTTGCAGTAACAAGTGCTGCCTATTGGCCTCTTTGGCTATGATGGCCAGGCCCCCAACAAATGTACAAGTATGAAAACAGACACGTAAAAGTGGTGCGAGCAAAAAGACTTCCCAAATTCCTTGAATTAGAACTGAACTGCAAAAGATTACGTGTAATTAATTAGATCACCAGCAGCATTGGAATATCTGAAAATCATATCATACACATTAAGTATAAAGAGTATATCGCGTAAGAGTACGATGAAATGTGTGAATGAGATACAATTAAATATGAATGTGTGAATGAGATACAATTAAATATGAATGTGTGAATGAGATACAATTAAATATGAATGTGTGAATGAGATACTATAATTAGCACAACCAAAAAACAACCAATTCCAAACAAAGGACAGATAAACAGAAGCATAGAAACAAGCCCAAATCTTGCTGAGCATGATTTATTAAAGTAGATCATGCAACAGAAGTTGGGTGGACTTCATTATATCATACAACGAAAAAAAATACTGACCACCTGAAGCAAATCAAGAAAGTTCAAATCCGGCGTTTGAATTGATAGCATATAGAAGCTTTGTTCTCAAAGTTCCTGGGCGTTTGTATGTTGGAAGCTGTAATCATTGAGAGGAGTATAAAAGTGTAAGCAATTCAAATGTATGGCAAGGTATCGTCTAAGAAAACCAACACTTTGTCTCAACAACTTAAATCACCAAGTGGGGGTGTTTGCTAAGTGAACATCCAAAAGTTTATACTTATTACAAAGTTTATCTACACGATATTTTCGATTATGAGATCATGATAATTTCAAGATCCTCATGTCCAATACATAACTCATAACTGACGTGAGAGTCTTGCTTTCAAATGTCATAGTCAAATCCCTAATACCTTATTCATAGATTTTCAAAAACACTCAAGAGTATAGGCGTCTGTCGTGCTATATGTCTATTAATTATACGGTTAAGGATATGTCCTCGTAGTACTTCGTCCGTACCTTAAGGGTGTTGTAGCAGGTTGAAGCTGATGGAAGCCGCTCTACATCTTGTCCTCCAAATGTTGCCCAAAGAGGAACATCACATGCAACCTAGGTGAACAAATAGACCCAAGCAATACTAATCAATGAAATCATGACATTTTAGTATTCACTAAAAAATGCATTATTTTAGGGGTTTCTTTAATATCCATTGAGGTCAATGATATTTCAAAGGGAAAAAAATGAGAGAAGTAGAAATTCTAGAAAACTAAAGCTGGACAAAAGAGCCACACACAAAGGCCTGGTATTTTCTTCCCTTTAATGGAATAACCATTGAAAAGAATGCTGAAATAACAATTGAAAAAGAATACCACACACCCAAGAAGCAAAATACAGTGATCTTTTATTCACAGAGCAAAATACAGTACTTAGGAGACCCTATTAGTCTCAAAAATAAAAATTTTAAACTTCTCTTTCAAGAACCATAAAGAAAAAAGATTTGGTTGCAAAACAGTTATTGTTATGCTAAACAGTCCACTCAAGTAACAAAAAAATCAAACCATGCCTTTATTTCATTACGATAAACAAAGTAACTAGGATAATAGAGGTGCTAGTATAAATGATCTTGAATGGCTATTGAACATAAAAAAAATCAAAGAATATACCTTGTGAATGGTAAAAGGTGGCTGTAAGTGTTTGAACCCTAGTAATGGAGCACGAGAGCAACTGGTGACAAATTTAAGAACCATACAGCGCTCTTTAGGTTCAAAGCCTTTAATCACCTGTACGAAATTGGCAGAAATAAGTCAAATAACATACATAAATTCTTCATTATAATTCACAAGGTTGAAATTAATGGTTATTAGTCACTTTCTAAAGCAAATATGTATTGTATTAGAGAGGGTGAGAAAATTCAATTCAACCAAATTCACCAAACTAGCATAGATCTCAGATACATCAAATGAATGATTAACTTATTTGAAAAATTAACTAGGGGCAAAAACTAGCTGAACACCTGAAGCTTGAGTGTGGATTATGATAAAAATAGAGGTTGCTCAAGCTTGAGTCATTAATTTAAATTAGTCTAACTAAAAGTTTGAGCTTGACTTGTTAAAAAAAGGATAAAACTTGAGCTTGACTTGTTAAAAAAGGATAAAACTTGAGCTTAGCTTGTTAGCTAATTATAAACTTCATTTTTTCTTTTTTGCATTATTGAACATTTTCTTTACACTTTAAGTTTATCAATTTAGTAATTCAAAATATTTCTATAAACATACGCTATAAATCACAAATAAAATTAACATTTTTCATTATCATATACGTCCCGCATATGGGAATATATTGAAAATAACAAAATAACCACCGACTTATAAAACTGAGAGGATTGCATATAACAAGAGAACTGCACAATAGTACATCAGTTTAAATAATTTGTTGTGCATAGATTTGGGATTGCTATAAGTGTGTGTTTCTGTGTGTGCGTGTGTGTGTAGTATCAAGGTTCCAATACCTCCCAAAAGATTTTGATTGTCCGGCTCCCCTCATTGTAACCACCAGTGTATCGTGTATTATTTTTAAAATCATCAACGTCAATATCGTAATGACCACCTGAAAGCAACTACATTCTTGTGTATCTCAGAAATCTTGCAGTAAAATGTGAACTCATCACAAATAAAATCTTCAGTATAAGTTATCACAAGTTGATTGTAGTGAATGAGTGAGCAACTGCATCTTGATTCAAATATTTTTCTCTAAGAAACTGTCACTGATACAACATATAATTTTAGTAAATGTAAAATTGTCACAAACATGCTTAGTTGCTCTTAGTGCAAGAGAGAAGAAGAATTATTAAACTCGCTAAGAAAACCTTTCAAACATACTTAGTAACAAAGATACCTGATTAAATTCACTTGCATTGAATAATTTCAACCAGGATGGCGATATAAGATCGGTTAGCCCTCTATAAAATGCATTTGAAAATGGAAATATCTGCAATTTAAACATTGTTACATATATATACCCATGATACAACAGTTAATAGTCAATGATGATAAAACCTGTTGGTTGAGTTTGTAGTCTGCCATCGCATGTATGTACTGCATCTTGTTTTCATTTGTCACAGAAATATCTTTGCCCCCAGACTTGAGCTCAACCACATGCCTTTTGCCAAATGATTCTTCAGTAACTGTGAAGTCAAAAAAGAGCTCCTTGACATCACCATCATAATTCTGCATGAATGATTACTGTGAACCTTCCAGTGAAATGTTAAATTGCAAGAACAGACTCGAGGAAAGAACAGATCCCAATTAAAAAAAAGCAAAGCTAACATACAAATGCAAATTGGATCATGTTAATGAATTATTGAATTTTAAGGTTTTCATGAATAATACTGAGTATATAACATCCACCAACCAAGACATTAGCTCTTGAAGGACGAACTTTGTAGGTTGAGAAACAGCACCAAACCATGTATGATTTTTAAAACATGGATCCTAGCATAAAGCAATGAGATACATTGGGGATGGTCAGGGACAGATCTATGTTTTAGTATTCTGGCAGCTGCCCCCACAAGTTTTTTATTGTGCTACTTAAAGTATTATCTTGACTCCACTAAATGGAAACTAAGGTCATGAAAGAATTTTCTCTTTTAAACTTTGTGAAGACTCAAAGACAAAAGTGTATAGGAAATGAACTTTTGATATGACTGTTTGGTCACATGCACATAGATATAGTTTTGATAGTGTTGAAAATGAAATATTACAACACTTTCAAAATAAGAATACAAGTGAAGAGCAATTATAATTTGTAGATGTGAAGGTGGGTACGGTTTTTTAGATATGCAATTGTATAGTATTTAGAACATCTCACGTTCTGCTTAATATATCTTTTAAAACAAATATTTATTGTATATAATCTTGCCCCCGCCAATTGAAATTTTTGGATCTGTCGGTGTGGATCGTCATGATTAATTTTGACAAAAGATTTATAAGTGAAGCAATAACATGGATATATCTCGTGGGATTACCTTGACATACATAAGACTCCTGTATAGCTCTGGATCAAGTGTTGATAATTCATCAAGAAAGCTATATCGTCCCAACAGCTTTTGTACAAAAACATGCGAGAAAGAGTAATCAAGTAATATTCCTTCATAAAGAGCTTTACCAACTATTCTTCCAAGGAACTCAATCATCTGAAGACCGTTGTCCAAAAATCTTGCAGAAGCAGTGGGAATTAGGAGGCTATCTGAAGTTGAGGTTTGGGAAAAAAGCCCGTTTCTACGGCAAAATAAAAAAGTTTCAACTAAGAAAGTCACTCCTGGAAGAGGAAATAGCTATGAAATAAATAAATGCATGAAATACAAAATAACATCTCAAACTTACTCATGGGTAAATGCTTCTTTTGATATGTCAGTCAAAAACTCTTTCGATAATCCACCGTAGTCTAGACCAGCCTCCGTAAGGCCACATTCACTGACAAATGAGACATGGATAGATGACTTCAACTTTGACCCAAGTGAGTTTAATTGTTGAAATCCATCTTCAACAATATGCCCCCGGCGTACTTCAATATCAATGGCTCGTGAACCAGGTCCATAGATTTCACCAGCCCTTCTGCGTGAGGCTTTATCCATCTTGATGAATTCACGAAACATCTCCACTCTATTTCAGCAGTAAACAAGGTGATTAAGTACTTCCAATCACAAAATAAAAAATAAAAAGTACTTCCAATCAGAGACGATCATGTGTTACATTGAAAACAAACGAATATGACTCTGATGACGAATTGCATACAAATATCTCTTCCTCTTTACTCTCAAAATGAAAAGAAAAAGAAAACCAATTCAATTACATTGATGAATACTCTCGTTGACAATCTTTCTCCCTTACAAAGTTTACTCTTGTTGCTTTGCTTCATTTAAGGTTTCTTAATGATCAACATCTAGCACATAATGGATAAATAAATTAAACTATCACTCAAGTAATCAAATATATGAAATATTCACTATTTTACAAGATACATGATTGATAGTATTCCCCAAGTGATTCTCCGTGCACATACTAAGATAATTCGAAAAATGTAAAGGATGTATTAATGATAATCTTCTAAGTTGATCATAGCTTATCAGTTCTTAATTTAACCCAACAATAGAAGCAAGAAATGACAGTATTTCTTAGAACTGTGGTTCAGCCTAACTCAACCTTACAAAACTGGCTTGTAAGGTGAGGTTTTGTAGGGTAGTTATGTTCAATCCACACATTCTAAGATGGTATTAGAGTCTATCCTGGATCTATTATTGGGCTTCCCGCATTGTCCATGCTTCGGGCTCATTGAGGCCCGAGCGTGAGGGAGTGTGTTGGAAATTTCACCTTCATTGTTGTCCGCCCCTAGTCGTTTAATTTCGACATTTTCCAAGACTAGACATAGACATCTGGAGCGTGGATGTAAATGGTGGGTGGCACGATACCGCAAAATTCATAGCAGGTGGCCCAATGGATCTTTGTTCTTGAGCGTGGCTCTGATAACATGCTAACTCAACCTTATAAAACTGGCCTGTAAGGTGAAGATTTCCCTTATAAACATATATTCAGGCCATATAATGTCCGATGTGGGACTCTTTAACAATATTACACAGTGAAGATACCCGGGAAAAGTTTTGCTCAAATAGGAAAATTAACACAACCAAAAAAAACAAAACTAAGATTAAGTTCTTTTTCTAACTCTTGTACTTTCTACTAACATGAGAAAACAATTCTACCGGGCATCACTTGTGGTCAGTATCTATTTTTCCTTATATTTTATCGTCCTAATCTAAAGGTCCAGTTGATGTGACTATGGAAATGTCAAAAAGAATATAAAAGTACAGAAAGCAGAATTGAATAAAACATAACTTATGACAAGCAAGAGGCCACATAATAGTCACAGTCACAAAGCTAGTAGTTACCTTTCTTCAAATGGGAAAACATGGGGAGTCACAGTGATAACAGAACCTAGACTCGGGGAAGATGATGAATCATCAGATCTCAGGTTGGCCGAAATAATTTCATGAGTTCTAGCAGCAACTGCAATTGGTGGCCGATTTTTTCTAGCAGGAGAAAGCCACAAATCAGGAGGACAAAATGGATGTCTGCAATCCCTTTCATACATTAAATGTAAGCATCTGACAGCACAATCCATGAGGGGCCTATTATGACGACCATTAACATGAGACAGGCCATTATAGACTAGGGTATTAAGCATTGATGCAATTCTCCTTTGCTGCTCTAACTTGAATGGAACCTAACCATGTAATCAAATTCTCTAGAAAGTTAGTTTCTGAAAATGTGATCTTATTCATAAAAGGACTGGGACAAGAAGAAACCAAGCTGGCTACCTGTTTCTCATAAAACTCTATGTCATCAAGAACTAAAAGCAGGTGAGAATAGGTTGCACAGAAAAGATGAAGCATAGCAAACATACTTTTTGGAATGCCTTGTGGGCCCTTCCTCATAGGTTCTATGTCCCATACATCTGATGGTTCTAAATTCACTTTGCTAGGTGCAGAGTGACTGCCAACGGGATCTCTGCAGTCTGTTGCGGTTTGTGACTTACCTGTAAATTTATGAAGTACGCTGACCCACTTAGTGGCCCCATCTTTACTTGCCTGTTTTGGTATCTTCTCAAAAGCTTTATGATTTCCACTTTCACTTGAGTGATTATCCGACATATGTTTGTGTTCAGAGAAAAAGGAATCCTCAAGTTCACCCCACAGTCTCACAAGAAATCCAGGAGTAAATGATAGCATGTTAAGAACTGGTAAAGCTCCACGAATTGGACTCAAGGCTGAAAATACTCTAAGTAAGTTAGAATAAAAAAGTGCAACATCACACAGATCTAGCTTCCCCAAATATTCCAGACTGTTTGAGATCGAAGTCTCAGCCTTGTTGGAGGCATCTCCATTCACTGATGCCAAAAGATTTGTGAGATGCCATTGCTGACAGACAGGCCTAAATTGATCCATGTATGACATTATTAACGACTCGTGGGTTGAACTTTCGGCATCAGTTTGGAGAGATTTCTTCTTTTTGAGCCATTCAATATTATCAAGACAAGCCAGTAGGCTTTCTGTTAGAATGACAATAACATGGACATACAATGCACAGTCTAAACCTTGATTGAAGGATTCGGAATCTACATGATCATTTTCCTTCCCTGTTGCTAGACATATAAAGTTCGCTAGAGACCAACCAACTGGTGGAATAGCCTTGAAAGAGACGAGAATTTCTGACTTAACCAACTCTGACATCTCCATAAAACGTCCTCTTTCAAAATCTGTCATCACCTGTCAGATTTTGATCAGTTCTGATATGTTTGAATCATAAAGCATAATCTATGAAGTTTTACAAATCTATGATCTTATTGACTCTAGACAGATATGATGGCAGTATTCCTACATATAAATACTGAGAAAATATAATTAGACAGCAGTTTAAAGAGAATATTAGAGCCATTTGCATTATCTTAACTCCAATACTAATAAAAGACAGATACTAACAAATATAAAATTTAGTTATTAAACAACAAAGATCCATCTCTGATGTATAAAATTTTAAAAAATTTAAAACTACAATATGCAACAAATTACATAAGAATATAGAAATAAAATGTACATGCACATGCACAATTATGAAACATCAAACTCAGAAAGTCAAAAGTTAGAATTAATTATACACAAATATATGGGTTACATTTGCATGATCCATTAGTTACATCAAAATATAAGAATGGAAATTTTCATAATGAATAAAAACTATAAAAAGAGAATAAGTTTTCATTAAAACAAAAGAGACAATTATTAATTTTGCACATGAAATTGTCCTGCTTTAAATATGCTTACCAATAGTGCCTGCAAACATGTGAACATAATCGATTTGTGTTTTAAAGCAGGTAAAAGAACAGGTGGGATATGTTGCACTAGCAAAGGAATAGTCATTAGATGTAAAATATACTGCTTAGCAGCATGGTTGCCATTCAGCATACAAGGCCTTTCTCTATCAAAGTTTGTCAGAGAAAAGGGCCGCACAGCTAAACTTATTGCACTTGCAGTAATAAAAAACTTCTCATCAGCCTGGATGACAACTTTCATTTGGGAAGAGTAATTATCCAATGCACTAATATATCTGGCAATAGAAACATAACTGCCACTTTTACTACTCGCTGTGAACTCAACTAAACCTTTCACGGCTAAGTCTGCATCTAAGCGGTTGTCATCTGGAATGCCTTTCCATCCTTTTAGATCAGTTAACATAACAAGAATACGCATTGCTAGAGATGTAACAATAGTAATATCTTGAGCCCCTGAATTGCATTCACTAAACTCTGAAAGAATCGAAAAACCAAGAGAAGTAAGTCGATGTGCCTGGTAACGCCAAATTATTCTCTCTTCAGTAGTACCAATTGCCAAAAAGCAATAGTTCAGCTTTGAATCTATACAAAGAAAGGAATAGATCCATTAGACATATATTAAGTATGTGAGTTAACAAGAAAAGGGAAAATAGGTCTATCGAATTCTAAAAGCTACGAAAAACAAAGTAACAGAAAGTAACTTCTCATTCATAATTTTATATAAAATGTAGGCATGTCTCACATCAAAATGAGCAACATAATTGGAACACTAACTTGAAGCCTAATAAGAGGAAATCAAAATGAGGGAATATACCAGAAGAATTCAGGCTTTTCAATAAGATTGTAAAGCACATCCTCATAGAATCTATTTTCTTGCTATGAACCTTTTGATGCCGATTTGAGAAGCGGGTCACAAAGAACAGAAATGGCCTCAACAAATTGTTTGAAATCCAATTTGCACTCATCACCCCAGTATAACTATTCACCGATGTCTCCCACTCCTGCTGAAGCTGCAGAGTAACCATCTTTGTAACCTTGAAGCGCCTCCAAACGCTCTTTCAAAATTAAGAAAAAGTTGTCATTTCTCTAGTTTGATAATTGATACAAGCATGAGGTCCAAATGAGGGCCAATACAAGATCAGAAGAATCATGCATATATTTTGTTTTTAACTAATGCGATAAACTATTATTTATTAGACTCTTGGTCAGTCCAAAATCATTTCAACTTTTTTTTCCTATAACTACAGGTTCAACGATTTATCCAAACCAGTCTCAATTATAAAAAATAAACATAAAAAAATAGAACTTCACTGTGTCTCAAATCAAGGACTTACTCTAACTTTTAGAATATTAATTTTTCTTCCGAGATAAGATTTGTATATCAGTGTTATCGAATTGCGGCGCCATGACCGTTATGGCCGATATACATGGCGGTTTTTGGGCTTGCCGCAATGGTAAATATCGTCCGCTATTGCAGGTTTTTCCGCCATAATCCGCAACAACGGCGCCGTACGGCAGGACTTTGGCTCTCCGCGATGGACCGCCATCGACAACACTGTTGTATATTTATATTAACTAACCCCGACATCACATGAGAATTCACACAAATCCATTTTGTAACCGTATTTCAAAAATAACTTCAAAATGCTGAATTCACATTGAAAAACAACAACAACAACAACAACAACAACAACAACAACAACAACAACAACAACAACAACCAAGCCTTATCCCACTAAGTGGGGTAGGCTATCCAAATCGTTAATATCGAGATCTTAGGGTCTGTTTGTGAGTTTGATTTTAAAGGGTTTTGGAAGGAAAGACCTTGGAGGGTTGCATCTATATTTAGAAAAGTGTTTGATATTTTTAAAAAGTTTAAAAAATAATATGATTTTATATGCTAATATAGTATATTGTTTTTTAAAAATTTTAAAAATATCACGTGCATTTTAAGATATAGATGCAACCCTCCAAAGTCTTCCCCTTAAAAAAAACCAACTCCCAAACGGATCCTTACAGTTTTTCTAGGTCTTCGTCTACCTCGAGTTTAACTCCTCTTCATCTAATCTATTCTCTTTACTACAGAATCTACATATCTTCTCTCTACAAACTCTAATCACTTAAGTCTATTTTCAACCATCTTTTCTACTATAGATACTACTACTATCATTTCTAATCTTATCCTCTCTATTCTTACCACACATCCAATCAAGAATTCACATTGATTATCACTAGTTCGCCGCAACAACATTACACGTCCCTTCTTTTCTAATTAATACGTCCTATCTAATCTATAGTACTTCTTAACATGCAATCAAGGAACTAACTATCAAGTTAAATCTTGAAATTTCTGTACGAATCAAAAAACAAGAAAAAACAAAAAGAGAAAGACATTATTGAACCTGAACGAAAAGAGCAGCAGCAGCAGCACGTTTTGCATAATTACGCAGTTCTCTTTCTCGCGAAACCTTCTGAAGAAGATCATCTCGCGTAATCTCCTTCGCACTCGCTCCTCGCAACGATACCTGAAAAAGATAGCAGAAATCTGTAGTGATTCAACGGTTTTTTGACGCAAAATTAAACGAGAATTAGGTATAATTAACAAGAGTACCTGGTGTTTACGATGTGCATCCATGGAAAATCAGGATCAGAGGTGAGGTTCAATGCTGAAATACATTAACAATACTCTGTGCTAAATTAATCCCTCTTTTGTTTTCTACTCTGTTAACCGCAACTGAATTTGATTTAGAAGAAACCAATAAAGAAGAAAAGAAAAAAGTTTTGTTTTATGTTTTTTTCTTTTAAGGGTTACTAAACATTTTAGCCTCGGTCATTTGAAGCGAATTTGAAAAATAACCCTATAAAAAATATATATTTTATCCTTGTTATTTAAATATTTTTTTTATTTTGATCCTTCGTTAAACACATTCAATAAAATTTATGATGTGACGTTGTTTTATTAACTTTTTTATTTATTCTATTTTTTATATAACGTGCATCTTTGTTTGATTTTTATTTTAATTATATTAGTGACATTTTTATTATTATTATGTTAATATATTGAAATGTTAAAATAGTAAAATTTAAAATTTTGTCTTGTAATATGTAATGAGTATGTAATATATTTATTTGTTTGTTTTAATTTAAATTAAATATTTATAACATAAAAATGTAATGAACATGTAATATTAAAATGTTAAAATATATTAAAAATATTTAATTAATAACATTAAAAAATATTTATATTTAACTGAAATTAACTAAAATAAATAAAAAAATATTAATTAACATAAAATAAATAAAATATATTTAAAAATATTAAATTGAAATAATATATATATATATATATATATATATATATATATATATATATATATATATATATATATATATATATATTAAACTGAAATAAAATAAAACATATTAACATGACATAAAATATATTTAAAAAATATTTAACTGAAATTGAATAAAATAAATAAATAAAATATTTATTTAAATATATTATTAACATATTATGAAATTAACAATATTTGTTTCATAACATATTTAAATATATGTTAATATTAATTTAGTTTAGTTTATTAAAACGCTAATATTAATTTAGTTTATTAAAATGTAAATAAAATATTAAAATAAAATTTATTTTATTAAAACGTTAAAATGTTGTAATTAAATAAAATTTAGTTTAGTTTATATTAAATATTAAATAATACACCTAAATTTAGTTTAGTTTAGTTAAATTTAATTTAGTTTGTATTATATATATTCGATATAAATCATAAACAAAAGATGCATAACAGTCTAGTGGTAAAGGGAGTTTCTTGCATGCTGTGAGACATGGGCTAAAATACTTGGTGTGGTCATTTTTGGGGCTAAAATGTGTACAAAACCTTTTTTTAATTCAAGAAATTAACTCTCAATTTTTTAAAATTTTAATAAATAATTAATTATTTAAAAATTATGAAAAAAAATAAAATTATTTAAATTTAAAATAAAATTTAAAATTACTTAAACTTTAAATAAAAAGACTAAAATTATTTAAATTTAAAGTTAAAAATCCAAACTGTTTAAATTTAATATAAATGAATCAATTTTAAAAAAATAAAATAGAGGTAGAACAAATTTATTATTAATTTAAGTTTAAATAGGGTAATCTTTCAAGTAACTTATCAATTTTTTGGTTTTAATTTTGTATTTTTTTTAAATAATTGTTAATTTTTTTGGGTTAAATTATTAATCTGGCGTAACATTAGCGAGTTTTGTTTTTAAAATTTGTATGGTCATTCATTTGTTGTGCATAGCATTTTGTTGTTGCATTATTCATCTTTCATTTCTTGCGTGTTGTCCCATTCTCTGGTGTTGTTGTCCCTGCAGAATGTGTGTGTCTTCTCTCCATTAGAGTGTCGACCTTAAGCAAAAAAAGTTTATCCTTTTTAATTTCTCACTGAGTTTGATTCTCGTGGAAGATTTTGTTTCAATTTTCCTTTCCAGCCCACTATCTGGATGGAATTTTCCCCAGTTGAGATATTTCCTCCTTGGGACGAGTATTGTTTGACCTTTTCTCTCCAGTTTGTTTCTGGATTGAACTTTCGTCCCCGACGGTGACTACTTTAAAGCTCTATAGGATAACTTAGATGATTGGGAGTGCATTTATTTTGCACCCTTGAGGATTTTGTATTCCTTAATAGATGACTTGTTTATGATTACCATCAGAAGATGAAGATTTTGTTTTCGCAGTAGTGTTGTTGCAACACTCTCTTGGAATATATTGCGTGACTTCAAGTGGTATCTCTTTATCTGAGAAGCATGTTACTGCTCAGTCAATTTATCCCATCAATGGGTTTTTATCTCCAGCAAACCTCGGCAGAAGGTGGCTCTACTTCAGATTTTTTGGTTAAGCTCTGCAGTAGATTCTCTGGTGAATTTTGAAATAGGATTTTCAACAAACCTCAACAGAAGGTATTTTCTTTCCAAGAATCTCGGCAGTAGATTTCTCAGATAATTACAACAAAAAAAAGGATTACAGCAAACTTCGAAAAGAAGGTGTTTCTTTTCATTTTCTAGCAAATCTCGGCAGAAAATTTCCAATTGACTTCGATAGAAGATATTTTCTTTTTAGGATCTCGATAGTAGAGTCCTTGGTTAAATCTTGGCGGAAGATTTTCCAGCAAAAAAAAACCTCGGCAGCGGGTGTGTTCTCGGTTAAACCTCGGCAAAAGGTGTTTCATTTGTAAACTCTCTGGTTAACCTCGGTAGTAGGTTCTCCAAGTGGAATTTGTTAGAAGATTTCGTTCAAATATTTCCTTATAAGTTTATTGCCTACGTTTTTCCTACCCAGTGACCGGTAGTCGGCAATGTTTCTTCACCTTTTAAGTAATATCGCCTTCATTTTCTACCCAGTAACCGGTAGCAGGTGATTTTTCTCATTCCTTGTTGGTTGATTATCCTTTGTTTTTACCGAGTGACCGGTAAAAGGTAATCCTTCCTCCCGAGCATGTTGCCTTTATTTTCTACCCAGTGACAGGTAGTAGGTAGCATTTGTCTCCCCTTTTTTTGGTTAGTTACTGTTATTTTTTACCTAGTGGCAAGTAGTCGGTAATCGTTCCTTTGGTTTATTACCCTTATTTTCTACTCAGTAACCAGTAGAAAGTATTATACCCCTCTTCTCCTTCGGTTTGAGTATCTTCGCCCAGTAACCGGCAGTTGGTATCTCTTTCCCCGTTGAGTTGATTCCTTTCCTTTATCGGAATGGGATCTTACTCTTTTGTTTTCCCTTGTGGAGTCTCTTTTCCTCTTTTGCTCCCCAATAGTTTTGTTTATCTCCTGTGGCATTTTTCTCCCTGCAGAGGTCTTGTGTCTGCATATGATCAGCATAATCATATCATTTTTTGGTCTCTTAAGGCCAAAAATTGGGTCTATTGTTATATTTAAGTCTATCCTATTTGGTCGAGACAAAGATGTCAATCTTCATATCTCCAGATAGAAGAAACTTAAATAGGGGCAGTTGTAATACCCTGATTTTTATCCCTAAGATCCCACATATCATTTGCATTTCATACCACAAACAAGATCACAAGCTTTGGTTCTCTTGTCTTCCTCTGCAAGTTTGTCTCTAAGGGACATGTTTGGGCACCCTTGTTTTCTTGTATGTTTGGTGTTTGTTTTTGTTTACTAACCTTTAATCAAAATCCAAAAATATTTTATTTTCCCTCTTTATTAACTTTTTCAGGGGAAGTTTGAATAAAAAATACCAAGCAACAATCCCTCAGCTCGAATAAATTTCATCTGAAAAAAGTCAAAGTTGATCTGTAAACAAATCAAATTCATTTGATCAAGAGTTCTCAAGTATTGATTGATTATTTTTAAGAAACTCCAAGGTTCATGTGTTTATTTCCATGCCTTATTTGACAAGTCAAAAGAATAAAGCCAGAGGCAGCACAATCCATCCAACAAGGCATATTTCAAGTTTTTCAAATGTGTAATCGATTGTACTATTGGTCCAATCGATTGCACCCTGCATTTTTTGCCTAGATTTTGAAATTTTCAGCAGTGCAGTCTATTTGCGCTACAGTGCAATCGAATGCACAAGGACATAATTAGGCAAAATCATCACTTCTCAAATTTTGAAGCATTTGGCACCAATTTCATCATTTGAGAATATTCTAGATCGTCCAAAAATAATTCCACTACCTCATCACAATTAATTCCCACCATACACCCTCATTAATCACCACTTGATCATTAATTTCCCTCCAAATTAAAATTCCAGACCTAATTTTGATTCCAAATCAAATTCCAAACCACAAATATTTCCAAGCCTAAGGTCTATAAATAAAGGCCTCATTTCATTCATTTCACAAGCTTTTAATAGGCAAATTCACCTTGTCAAATTCTTTCTTGACTCTCTTTTTTTTCTCCAATTACCAAATTCACCAAAGCTCTTTCTTCCTTTGAAAGTTAGTAAGTTCATCATTAGAACTTACTAATCTTTGATTTAAATCTTCGTTCATTCACTTTTTCATCATCAATTTTTGTAGATCAAGGCTTTGGACTGTGGTTTTTGGAGTTGATTTGAAGAATTTTAAGATTTGAAGTGGTAAACCCTTGTTCCACCATTGTCATGCTTGATCCATCTTCCACAATATGATTTATTGTTGATTCTTGGTTCTCGAGACATGGGATCAAGGTATTTCTGTGGCTCAGGGTTCCCTTTCATCACAAGAGTTTAAACAGCGAGCACAAGAGGCTCTGGCATTTATTTTACCCAGCAATCGAGCAGTCGATTTTATTTTATTCAGCAGGTTATTTTTAGTTCAGGAGACGATGTACAGGCTATCTCAGGCATTCTCACAGTCATAATGTCCAATGGCAGGTTTTAGAAGCTTAACGGGGTTCAGAACAAGTGTCAGCGGGTGATTATACAAGATTTCCTCCATTTGACGCCATTTTTGGGCATTTTTGTAATGTGGTAACCGGTTACCACATATGGGTAATTGGTTACCCTGGGCGAAATTTGCCAAGATATTTGAATTTTCAGCATTGCAAATTTTCAATCATTTTCAACCATTGATTTCACATGATCATCATTGGAAGGATCTAGAATTGATTCAATTTTCACCATTTTCCTCCAAA